CCTTGCCTGTGATCTTTGTTTGTAACCTCAGCCATTCTAATTTCAATAATGCACCTGGTGCTATTAGTTTCTCTGTTTCATGATCTACCAGGATCCCCTAGATATAACATCTTAGCAAGCAAGAGTACACATCCTTAATGACACTCAGTGTAATGGCTAATTGGCTTGTCAAGGCTACAACCTGCCAAGATTTTCATAACAAGTTCACTATATCTCTATTAAGACAGCCTAATTAAATCATAGCTCATACTTACATACTGCAAAACCCTGGAAAAGATATAGACCAAGGGTCACCCCTCTCTTTTATGTAAATAATAATGTGGCCAATTATAATAAGAACAAACTATGCAAATGAAATAAAATTAGTTACATGCAACATGTAACTCATTGTCTGGAATTTAAGAACCTCCAGTAATAATTCAAGAAGTTATGGTTAATGTAGCCCTGGTCCTCATTCTTATCATCCATCACCTCCCTTCACATTTGAATTGTTTACACAACAATTCAGAGGGGCACATTTTCTCTGTTAGGAGGGCAATGTCTATAGGAAGTAGCAAAAATGTGGGAAAGATTTTACAATCAATGATCTACACCACAACTGATCTCCGTGGTTTGCAATCCATATAGTTGAAATTTTACATATTGCCATCTTTCCTTCAGGCTACACAAAATGCATATTTGTCCTGAAGATGAATACATATTTTTTTGTGATAGTCCTCTTCCTGTCCATCTTTTCTCTCACTACTTGATCAGGTAAAGTCAGATATGACCCCACTTCTCCTTTACACATTTTATGTATTAAAAAGGTTTTCATTGCCTTTTTCTAGGATCTTGTTTAGAATTGCTTGTAGTGCTGATTTGGTATTCATGTAGTTTCTCAGGTGTTCTTTGTCGTGGAAGTGTCTTATTTCCCCATCCATTTTGAAAGAGAGTTTTGGGGGATACATCAGTCTAGGTTGGAGGTTGTTCTCTTTTAGTACTTGAAATATCTCATTCCAGGCTCTCCTTGCCCCAAGGGTTTGTGTTGAAAAGTCTGCTGTGATTCTGATGGGCCTTCCTTTGTATGTGATTTGTTTCTTTTCTCTTACTGCTTGTAGTATTTTGTTCTTCTGTTGGGTTTCTGGGATCTTGATTATTATATGTCTAGGTGTAGATTTTTTTTTTTATTGTAGCTAGTTGGGGTCCCATATGCCTCAGTTATCTGACTGTCAAATTCTTCTCCTCTGTTTGGGGAGTTTTCTGTCATTAATTCTGCAAACAGCTTTTTTAAGTCATTTGTATTTTCTCCTGCTACTTCATGTATTCCTATCAGTCTTATGTTATTCTTCTTTGCATTATCTAGGAGTTGTTGGATCGATTTCTCATGATCTCTTACTGCTTTTATGAGACCTCTCTTTTCATGGTCACTAACTGCGATCTTATCTTCTATATCTGAGAGCCTATTTTCGCATTCTTTTATTCTGTTGCATACACTTTCAACAGAGTGTTTAATCTCCTGGATATATGCTGGAATCTGTTTTATGGATTCCATTTCTTTCAAGATCCTAGAAAAAGGCAATGAAGGCAACAACACCATGAGGCCCAACAGAGCAAATCAAATAGGCAAGGCAAGAAATTAAAAGGAGAAGGTGAAAAACTAAAAAGAGTCAACAAAAGGCCAATAACATGTCAATAATAAGTCAGTACATATCAGTTATAACCATCAATGTCAATGGCCTCAACTCACCCAATCAAGAGAAATACACTGGAAAAATGGAATAAGAAGCAAAATCCAACAATATATTGTATACAAGAAACACACCTAGTGCAAAAAGAAGCCCATAGACTGAAAGTGAAAGGATAGAAAACAATTCTCCATGTGACAGGATCCCAGATATAAACAGGGATAGCAATCTTATTTGCAGACAAAGTAAATTTCAAACCAAAACTGATTCTAGTATCATTGATGTAGGACGGTACTGTATCATACCTCTATGAATGTAAAATATCTAGTATCTGCTTTATGATACATAGTAGGGACCGTGCTTTATCAGAGCTACATTTAATGATATTACTCTAGAATGTTCTCTTTCCAGATGATGATTAAGAGGCTAATAGAAAAAATGGTGCCAGGTACCACAACAGCAACAGAACTTTGCTCTTTCCTGGATATTATTCTTTTCTTTGTTTTGTTTTGTTTTTAATGGAATGTGCTGAATGTCTATAATTTTGTTCAGATGACTGCAGAACCTGGAAAAGCTGTTGCTGCTATCAATGCATAACATACTATTATTAGTATTTATATATATATATATATATATA